AGTTGGGTGTCCCAGCTCGTACCAGTACTTGAAATGATGTTTGGAGTAACACGGCACAGTGTTGCCTTTCACATTTGATGTCAGGCACAGCTCTACAGAGAAAAAAAAAATCAACATGAAAAGTTCTGCTCGTACGTCAAAAAAGACGCACTGCGAGCTCAAACCTCCACCATAACGCAGCTCACTATCGGGACAATTTATTTTTAACTACTGAGTATTGTGTTGTTAATATTCACTTTGTTTTCTTTAAGTTGGTAGTGCAGTATAGATCAGATAAGCAAAGCATGACAGATGTTTACTTTGATTACACACACAGGAGAAGAAAATGAATGATATGTATTGATTTGTAAATAACAATATGAATAACTTGAAAGGGTGAAACATAAACATGAGGTCAGAGGTCAAATGTGACGTGATATTTGGATTCAGACTATAATGTGATATTTAGAATCCTCGTAGTATTCCCTATATGTTGTCAATACAACATACTTGCTATATTTATATTTTGTCAGTATCACTGATAAGATGTGGACCGACAGATGTGGATGTGTCTGCATCGCTTATTTTCACCCCTCAAACTTTAAATTTGGACTTTTCAGAGTGAAACTGCATCGGTAGCGAGATGCCTCAGTCACTGTGATCCTGCAGCACAGGAACAGTGTGCATGTGAGGCATAAATTTGATTAAAAGTTCACACATTTTAAAATGAAAACATCTTAGCGTGGATGCTGCGTCACCTATTGGTATCTTTTTCTGAACCACTTTGTTAACGAGGCTTTGAGATCCACCGACTTCAGGATGTAAGAAGGTGCCGTGACCGATTCTGTCAGGAGGAAGACTCAACAGCAAATCTGATTCGTCCAGCTGTGATGGAATCTGCAACAATATTTAATGACATCACTCTTATGTAAAATATAACTACAGTCAAATTATCTCTCTCTATCTCTCTCTCTCTCTACTTTTTAAGTGTACTATTCATACTTCTGAGAGGTGCAGTGACAACTTCAGTCCAGAGTTTTTGGCCTTCTGTAGGGCAGGAAGCAGATCTTTGCCATGGCCCACCTTAAAATGAAAGCTACATTATCATGTGAAATAATGAGACGTGGTCCTACTAATAAATAGCATTACAATACAGTTTCCCAACATAATTTAAAGTCAATTTAACAAGCTACCTCTTATTTTCTTTCATATAAATACTGCTACAGCGTGGTTTCTGGTGTTTAACATGTTTTAAAAGTTTTTAATAATGAGATCAGCATATGTGCAATTAATCCCTGTGAGCCAAAACATTAGTATTAACACCTTCAGTTTGCAAGAAGCTGCCAATTGGAAGAAAGTCTGGTAAAAGCAATACTGGCCTTGAAGCAAGATTATTTAAAATGGTTTGTTTCAGATAAAGTATGAATTGAGGAGCTTCATCAAGGCCCAGTTTAAGATAAATAAGGATTACTTTAAAACTGTGAATCATGCAAAGCTGCTCTAGTAGAGTCCAAGAATAAAAATGGGGAATTAAGGATGAGATTTAATGACATACAGTTTACATCATTTTCAAAAATTAAACTCTTGTGCTCTGCAGAAGTTATTTGAGATGACCAGTTTAACAACTTTTCTTTGTCACCCTGGAAAAGTCCACTCCCACCAGAATAGAAATATTTCATCACAAAACTAGACGGTGACCATTCCTATTATGGGTCAAATAGACCCAAACAATGCCAGTAAAACACAGAGTAACTGGATCTGTAACTATTAGTACAAAGCCACCATAGTACCAAACTGTCTGACAAACCGTTGGATCTCCACTGACGTCAATTCCCACCACTAAACCATCAGATGACAGCATGAACTCCTCAGCCAAATTCACCGTCTCCAAGGCAACTTCAGTCCCATTCCTGCGGTCAATGGCTACCAGAAACCTTCAAGATGAATAATATTGAGAATCATGCACCGCTGTGGTCAGTGACACAGCCACAACTCATAAGACAAATGTGTGGACTTGCACACAGCTGGGTAAACCTACCTGACATCAATGTCCACTCCCTCCTCCTTACACTTCTGGATGGCTTTGATGACCGTTTCAATGTAAGTCTTCTTTGTCAGTCCTACAAACACAAACATACCAAATCAGTGCATGGTGAGAAAAAATCCCAAGTAATTTCATGTTCAGTTTGTTCCCTCGCTCTTCCACTGCAAAAAACCCAAATACAAAAAAGCAAACAAAAGATCTGGAGGTGAAGTGCTGAACTCACACTCAATATGAGAAGGTGGTGGTGTACAGAAGCACATTTACAGAATTTGTGTTATTTTCCAAAAACCTATGGACTTAATTGCATTATTTTTCTGTATTACTGTTTTTTCAGTTATATATTAGTTGAGTAAAATATATTTTAAGTAACACTTTTTAATCCAGAACACTCACTATATTTCTTCCGAGATTGCTGGATTCAGCTCAGTCACGCCTTAAAAGCAAACCCAGGTTAGTGTTTCTGGGATGGTCCCAATCAGAACTGTCTGAACTCAGCACTTTAGATTAGTTTTCTGCCTATTGTACCTTTGTGTTGACAGCACTGCTTTGTTTTTTGTTTTTTTGTTTTT